AAAAAAAAAAAAAAAAGTGAAGGGCTCGTTGCTCATCCTAAAGGCTTCGAATTACCGTAGACTTAGGTAGCTTAGGTTTTTTTATACAAGAAAATGAAATTAAGTGCCCTGGCGCTGATAAGCTTACATAGATTCCGTGATCGTCCAAGTCGCGTACAGGTGCAATATTCAATCGTTGTTCATTCGTATTATCATCAAATCGCGCGTTTCTCGGATGTACTTTAACCCGTTTCGTTCCGTCGATTCCGACGTAGCTCTTTGTCATTGTCATTTTGCACGACTCTGAAAAATTAAAAAAAAAAAAGAAAAAAGAAAAGAAAAGAAAATACAAAAAATTGAGTTTCCTTCTCAGAACCTGTAATGATTTTCAAAATCCATTTATTTATTTTACATCCTCACCTGGCCTATTCTCGAATATGCGTCTGTCATCTGGAATCCTCATTTCACTTTCACTTTCCTCTTCAATTTCGTATCGTGATTATACTTCCGATCATACAGAAGCTCACTCGATTCTCGAAGAATCGTGGCACACATCTGCCAGTTTTTGTTTAAAGTTATTTCTATGTTTATATTAATAATAATATTAAACGGACATAGCCCAATAATGAATACAGGAACAAAAGATAATACAATGTAAGACACGTTGAAAGAACACTGAAAAGCTTTGTTTTAAATATAGTTGTATGTCCAGAGAAAAAGTCAATCTTGTCTATCTATATATAAGCTGACTAATTTGACGATCCTGTTTGTTGGATCCATAGCATATCTTAGAGATTAGTGAGTAAATGTCTCCTTGCATACAACAATTTCTACAATTGTACAGAACAATTTCTCCCTTGTATATCTGGCTGGAACAATATCATTTGTCCTAGTCGATTATATATACTATTAACGATTTGAAAAGAGAAATGGGAAATAAGCCGAGCCTACTGAGGCTGTGGTTACACTAGGGTGTGTTTTCTGACAAATACGTTCGAACTGTTCATCGGACAAACGAGACAAAGGATTAGCTATATTGGATACGCATTCTGACGAATTCAACGTAGTTACCAAAAGGCTATAACGATCTCTATTTTTTAGAAGGTCCGTTTTTGAAATTTTTACTTTCAAGTTGGAAAGAAAAAAAGATAAGTAAACAATATGTTTGGGGATGAATAAAGAGAAATTTACAATGCCAGTCCAAACATTCTGTTGTGTATTAAATGGAATCAAAGAATGTACATATCTCAAACAGCTCTCTCTATATATTTCTGCAGAAGAAATGGCTCATCGAAACATTCAGTACTCCCAGTACACAGGAAAATAGAGTTCGTACGATTCATCATATCGATATTGAATTCGTGCAAAGAAAGAACTGTACGCAGTGTAAAGACATGCATAAAAATTAATTTATTTGGTTTCTCTGACGTATTCGACAGAACATTAGTCCGTCAGAAAATACATTCAGTGCAACCTCAACCTGAAATCCTTATAGTCTTTATATCTTTCCCTTATTCATTTCGTTTTAACAACCTTTATCCTTTCTGTGGGAATTTATGTAAAAACAAAATTGATTTTTTCGAGGGGAATATCGGTGCCTTTAATAATCGTACAGCGGCACGTCGAACGATGAACCGAGAGGTGGTGCCAGGTCATTTGTTAAATTCATTTATATGTTACGAATAAAATATAACATTGGAAGGTATATTAGAATAGATTATACACATTTGACAGATATATTTATAATTTATGCGCAAAATTACAAATACAAATGCAATTTATTTTTTTAGTGTTTACCTAACGTTAACATGTTCATACTTTTACAAAAATAAAATTACATTACTTATTCTTCTGCACGATTTATGCAAAAAATTCTTGAAGGATTACAGTTCTCGCAATTTACGGACATATTGAAAACTGTGATATAGATAAATGCTAACAGTGCGAACGAATTGTCCCAGCACTGTCGTCTCGATAAATTATAAGTATACATATATGTGTATATACATATATATTTTTTTTTTCTTCACAGTTAATACAGTAGAACGTCGTTT